GGTTGTATGCAAGATTGATTACTTCAAAGCGTGGCGTGCTTTGCGATACATCGATTAATATGCTATTTTAACTTATGGAAAAGAATCGATAGACAGGGTGCTCACAACGAACACATTAATAATCGATCTTCACCATAGCTTCAAATGGGGAAACATCGATAATGGATCATTCACGCCTCGCCACTGGGTTACATAGGCTTGCGCCGAAACCGAAACAGGACTTGATCTTGTAAACCTCTTTTGCCTAATGGCTGACATGCGAGAGTATTGAAATTCAATGACTCACGACACACAAGACAAACCGTTAGAGTACATCAATATCCGTCTCGCCGTTTGTAATCTACCTCACTTTCTTTTTCTATTTCATCCACTTCCTCCTTGCTTCACTCCTCAAATCCGCCATTCTTCCTCCTTTCCTTCGACGGATATTCAGCTAAAGCAATCATACCACGAGTCAGCTTTCTCGCCCAACGGCTACTTTTCACCAGGATCACATGAAACGAAAGAAAATTATGAAAGTTCAGGGTGTCTACTGAGAAAGGTGGGTAGGAATCAGTGCTTTCACAGGATTTTTTCCGAGTTCGCTCAAAAAATAGGATGTTGAGCTCGTGAGAGAGGGTGGAAACTTGAACTGTTCAGTGCTATATAGCAGTCAAAATGCATTGTTTCTAGAGCTGGGAACAACTCCAGCAAACTCCAGCTGTGTTTTTTTTCAAATTCGCAATATAAGGTTCTGAAACGGAGACGGAGAATAAAGCCTTATTAATTTTTTTAAGTTATAGATAGATATTCAACTCATTTGAACAAAGTTAAACAGAGAGGACGCACTAAAAAGTCGGGGGAAAGACTATATGAGCGTGAGGGACAGTCGTTAATTTTAGTCCTCAACATAGAATCTACTGGAGGAATGAAACTTCCAAGCTTCCAGAATCTACTGGAGGAATGAAACTTCCAAGCTTCCAGAATCTACTGGAGGAATGAAACTTCCAAGCTTCCAGAATCTACTGGAGGAATGAAACTTCCAAGCTTCCTGTCTCGGTTCCAACTCGATGCAACTTGATACGTTTCGGTTTAATTTAAACAGAATAGACTACATTTTGCGATTAAAAACTAATATTTCAAGCTAATTTGGTCCAAACTCAACAGAAACGCACCGAAGCGCGTTTAGAGAGGGGAAAAAAATGAGTTGGGAGTAATCACGAATTCACTCAGTCGCAAAATTTTCTCCTGTTAAAGTTCCAAGCCGAGAAAAAAAAATCTCAACATGAAAATAGTCGTTAAACGTCGTCATTTATTTTAACATTAAGCTTTATGGAGGAATAAAACTTTGAACCTCGACTTCTCGATTGAAACTTGATCCGACTTGTTGCGCTTCAGTTAAACTCAGTCAATTTTAAGTTCCCTTCTTTAGGGGCCTAAATGCCCAACTTCTCAAGAAAACGACTTCATGAGGCCTTTTAGAAGAATTTTAACAAGAAAACTTCAGAGAAACGTCTTAACATTTCGACCATGAATAAATTCTTTTCGAGTGCAAGAAAATCGGAACGACAGAACAAAAGAAAAGAACGCAATAGTGTATTTTTCCTTCGGAAAATACACTAATAAACGGAAAGCTCAATTTTAATTTCTTCCCTCTTTGAAGGCCCTGAATGCCTGACTTGTCCAAAAAACGAATTCATGAGGCGCACTGAGAAAAAACTATGGCTTATAAACCTATTAGAGGTAAATATGGAACACCACTAATAGTAGTACCTCTACATATAATAATAGCACATATACCTTAGTTATGGTACGGGGTACCTTAATTAGGTACAGAGACCTTAGTATGGTTCACAGACCGAGAATCATTAGTTTATTTACGACTATTATAGGTGTTCCATATTTACCTCTAATAGGTTTATAAACCATAGTTTTTTCTCAGTGCACTTCTGCAGAATTTAACGTGAACACTTCATGGGAACGTCTTAAAATTTCGACTCACGAGAAAATTCTGTTCGAGTGCAAGAAAATCGGAACGACAAAAAAAAAAAAAGAAAAAGAAAAAAAAGAAAAATAAACGGAAAGCTCAATTTCAATTTTTTTTTAGTTTTTTCCCTCCTTGAAGGCCCTAAATTCTTATAACTTATCCAAAAAACGACTTCATGAGGCATTTTTGAAGAATTTAACGTGAAAACTTCAGAAGAACGTCTTAACATTTCGACCATGAGAAAATTCTTTTCGAGTGCAAGAAAATTGTGACGATAAAAAAAAAAAAAAAATAGACGGGAAGCTAGACACGAAGTTGGGGAAGTATCGCGGTGCATGGTGACGAGCGCCAGAACCCTGAAGCGAGGAAATCGGGTAGAAAAGCCCTTCGGAGTGGCGGTGGGAGGAGGGGGGGACAAGGGGCACTTAAGCGAGATAAGAGAGGAGTCCTACCTGTTGATATCGGCGGCGGAGTGGAGGCACTGAAAATCCCTGCTGACTCGACTGTAGCGACTCCGGCTCGGGCCGGGTACGGCGGGAGGTATCCGGGAGGGATGCAGGCGCTGGAGGGGGCGCACGATGGATCGAGTCAAGAGGAGAGGTCGGACAAAATTTGGAAACTTTAAACGCTCATAACTCGGTTTATACGAACCTTTGAGGTTTTGAAAGTGGTTTCATTGATTTTCTCGTAGAATTGTCTTGCAGAAGCACCCCTTAAAATGTAAAATGTGAGGAAATCAAGAGGAAAATTTGGAGTTGAAGTCAATAACGACATGTCCGACTTCTCCGATTGACTGGTTCCACTGTGGGGCGCTCCCTCCGCTGCCGCCCCCGATCAATCGCTCCAGAACAATACGTGCAATTTTCATTTACTCTCCTCATATCACGACCCGCTCGTCCCGGCCCGCTTTCGGGGGTTACCAAGGGCGGGGCCGCCTCTCAAGTCGCGCCTACCCAAAAAGGGTGCATTTCCACGATTGAATATCATGCCATTTTGGAATGGACCACAAGACAGGGGGAGAATTGAACTAAATTTTGCGTTGAGGAACTACAATGTCTGGCTTTTTTCAATGCGATTTGACGGGTTTATTTTAAATACGAGCCAAATGAGCTATCTCTTCCGTTGCTTGGGGGAATAAGTAGACACACCTGGATTGAGCGAATTTTGCCGTCCATCCATAGAACTTGGAAATTATTCGCCTTCTTTTGCCATTTGATGACGTCATCAGCAGGCTCCATTAATGGCGTCATATATGAATAGACATATATCAGGGTGTCTACTAAGACAGGCTGGCCAAAATTCAGTACTTTTCCAGTACCTTCATTTGACGGAATTCGAAACATTTCAAAAATTTGAATTTCTCTCTCAAATTGCGACAAAAATGGAAAATTCCGGATCTTCTAGCGGAATTTTCGCACTTTCTTGGTATTTCCGGACCGCCGTTAAAAAATCAGTACTATTTCCGGAAATTCCGGACTTGTAGACACCCTGATATATGGAGTGTTTTTTTTTTTTGTTTTGTTTTGTTTTTTAAAAATATTTGTGGAGAAATCGACGACAAAACTTGTCTTGTGATAGCCTTTTAAAGCCCGTGCCTGGTGGAATAAGTCGAGCAGGAAAAGTGGAAAGGTGAAACTTGGAGACGAAATCCTTGCGAAGCGTTGAAGGAGCAGTAATAGAGAAGGGACGGCGACGGGACGGGTGCTGAAGGGATAATGAAATTAACACTACAGTTTCCAGCCCCGTCGGAAAATTAATTCTCAAGGCGCACTGGTTATTATATGCGCCAAAGCAATCTCCCCGATAGGTTTTAACAATTATTCAGCCCTTCATTTTAAGAGGGCTTAAACCGCACGAGTTTCACGATTTTGTGCATCGAGAAGATTCCAAGAATATAGTCAGTGACCTAAAAACGTGAAAATCTACAACTTCTATAAGAACCTTGGCGGATTCTGTAGGAGTTAACTTTTGCCATCACAGTTAGATGAGGTTGCTACTTTTGATATCACTCTTTAAGTTCCAACACTTTTCAACGAAAAAAGGTACTGAGAATTTATAAAAAAAAGGCTCCGGTTGGGATACTTTTAGCAATGGACTATATGTGTTGGATGGAAATGCAAAAGAAAGTTTAAGAGATGAGGCAGAAACAGCCAGCCAGTCACGAAAAGGAGCCCTTGCGAAAACGCCGTAAGGTTCCATTAAAAGCCAGCATATATTCTAATGGGTGTTAGGGTTATTTTCTAAATGCACATAGTTCCGTTTGACAGAAATATATGCACGTCCATATAATGTTGCTTACATTCGCACTGATTGTGAGTCCACCGGTCATTCCCTGATTTTCCAGGTGTTCTAGACCCCGAGAAACTATGTTCACCCATAAACACAGACTTTTCATGAGCCAGGGTTGCCACAGAATTCGGAGAATGAAATTCCCTGACATTTCCTTGATTTCCCTGACACATTTTTGTAAAATTCGCTGACGATTGAGGGTGTAACGGATTGTTAAGTGGACATAATTGAAAATATTTTTCAGATAAAATTTATTGTTCAAAATCTCAAACCCATTCTAGAAAGCAAATGACGGTGATTTAACAAATTTTCTTGACATTTCCGTCATTTTCCCTGACTTTTCAAAATTCCTTGACATTTCCCAGTTTTCCATGACTTTTTTAAATTCCCTGACATTTCCCGGTTTTCCCTGATATTTTCGTCATTTTCCCTGACGTTTCCCGGTTTCCCCAGACTTTTTCAAATTCCCTGACATTTCCCGGTATTCCCTGACTGTGGCAAGCCTGGATATCATGTTGCTTGAATTCGCACTGAGTCCACCGGTCATTCCCTGATTTTCCAGGTGTTCTAGACCCCGAGAAACTCTGTTCACCCATAAACAGACTTTTCATCAATGAAAAAAACGCGGTGTTGCCAACTTGCGAGAATGGCTATGCCGTAAAAGGACCGGAAGGAGCATCTCCGGAACAGATCACGGGTCTCATTCAACATGAACTAACAAAACGTAATGGCAAGAGGTACTCACCGCAGAAAGCGATTTCGTCGAGCCTTGGACGACCATAAATAGACCACGGTCATGAGCTACCCTAAAAAAATACAAAACATTGAGTAAGCATCGTTATTATATAACCAGAATATTCCGAGTCGAAATCAATCTATGGACAATTGCGTGACATAACTCGACTGGTCAACCTCAAGTCTCATGCACGGTCAGAAAAGCTGAGCTCCTGATATTTTGATTTAGTATTTGGAGCGTGAGAGTAAAAACTGTTGACATTTCCGACGACCTCATCGAATAAAAAATTAGGAAAAGTTGGGTAAGGACCCTACATGTATACCTACTAGGAAGCTACGCGGCCCACCCCATGATGGCGTTCCTATTCGCGCCTTCTGAGGCCCATAGGGCGGGCTCATAATGGGAATATCTCTTATCGATAGCAGGAAAAATCATAAAAATCAGCTCGGTAATAGATCTTCAGAAAGAATTTTGGTTTCTTTTCGGCGCTGCGACTCTGAACTTTAATCTCGATTTTGATTTTGCATCAAACCTTGTTTGGTGGTCCACTGATTAAAGCAAAATCAAACTCCAAATCGAGATTAAAGTTCCAACTCGCAGCGCCAAAAAGAAATCTATCATTAAATGCGCACTCGGCTCTGTCTTCAATCTCGAAAACTTTAAAATCTCATTTTCGCACAAACTGCTCTCTTCTTTGGGACGCGGGCGGTATCCTGCCGTCCTAAGGACAAACGCTGAATAAACTTTCGAGAGTTGCCAAATTTCTCTAGATAAAACATGTATTTTTGAGGAAAGTTTTTCATATTCCTCTTTGAAATTTTCAGATATATCAGATCGAATTGCGAACAAAATAATCTAAAAATTTGATGAAAAGTGTTGTTAATTTTCCAAGAAAATTAGGTTTTTATTGAAGGCAATCTGGCAACGTCTGAAAGCACATACGGCGTTTTCCCTGAGGATGGGAGTATCAAACCCTGGAGAAAGGAAGGCCATTATTGCCCAACAGAAGTGATTTTCTCTCCACCTCGGCTCCTTGCTTTCTTAATCACGTGATTAATCGTTAATTTGCGGGTTTGCGAACAACTCGAGACGATGAAAGTAATTGCTGGCCCAACAACTCAAATCACTTCGCGCTGATCGCGAGTCAAACTACACTAAATGGACGTATTTCTATCAAACGGAACTATGTGCATTATGACGGGAGCCCTGTTATGCATATATTCTTATGGGTCTCAGGGCTCATGTCTTAATGCACATACTTCCGTTTTACAGAAATACGTTCAAACATGCCGAACGATGTGGTGGTAGCGCTGAATACTCTGCAGAACTTTGTTTTGCACTTGGAAACCGGCGCCACTTGCGTCATAATTAAATGAATAGCTTTTAATTTCATTCGAGCGGATTAATCTGAAACAATCGCGCAAATTGCAAAAAACCCCAAGCTACTTCAATTCAACACTATTCCCTCTTTACACCTATAACTTCTCAGCTTTTCGTGTGATTCTGACTCGGAAATTCAAGGAAGAGAACGAGTAATGGAAACTCAATATTACTCTCTTCTGCCGTGCTAAGGAAGAACGTCGTATGATCCTTCATGCGTTGCCAAATTTCCTTGGATAAAACAAGAATTTTTTTTATGAATATTTTTCTTCCAATTTTTCAGAGAATTCTGTTTGTGTTTTGATCTGAAGTTCCTGAAAATTTCAAGGGGAAAAAGCTCATAATTTTCCTCCAAAATAAAAATTTTTCAAAGAAAATTTGGCAACTCTCGAATGTTCATACGGCGTTTTTTCTTAGCACGACAGAATTTAGAGAAAATCATTGACCGCTGCGCGACCGAGCCCCCCAGAGTCCGTTTCGCGGGGCCATACGAGTTTCTCTGAATAGAGCCGACCCTTTGAGCTGCAAAATTCCCTTTCAATTATTGGAAGATGGTTTTTTCCGTTCGGCGCAAAATCAGCGGGGAGAGTGAGAGGAAGTGCGATTTTCATTTAAGACATATCCATGGCTAGAAGGAGGAACCACGTATCTCCGTTTGCGATGTTGAAGACATCATTGTCACACTTTATTTTTTCGTCGAGGAACTGGTTAACGTGATTTTTTAAACACTTGCTTGGTTTTTCTCTTCTGCAGTAGACTATTGTGTATAAATTGGACCACATTTTGCAATTAGGAACTACGGTTTTTTAATCATTCCTAAAACCACCTATGTGCATAGGAAATTATGGTGTATACGTTGTTTCTAAACTGAGCCAGAGGGTGTAGTTCCTAATTGCAAAATTTAGTCAACTTTCAAGGCATTAAGCTGACTTCGAAGAAATAAAATGGGAGCGGGGATTTTGAAACACCGCAATAGAGATACGTGCTTACTCACTTAGGCCATCATATGAGCCCTTCTTCTGGCAACAACGCAATCGTAAAACGAGGCTACGCACAGTGGATCGTGTCAGTAGGAGAGGTCGGACAAAATTTGGAAACTTTAAAGCTTATATCTCCGTTTATACAGAATGTTGAGGTTCTAAAAGTGGTTCCATTGGTTTTTTCCTGAAATTTTCTGCTGGAAGCACCCCTTAATATTTGAATTGTGGCGAAATAAACATCAAAATTTGCAGATTCAGTAAAAAAGTTCATGTGCGACCTCTCTAATTGACTCGATCCACTGTGCGACGCGACGGAACAATTGGCGCGGTTGCTTCAACGCTGATTACAAGAGAAAGAAAAAGTTGAGCGGTGACCACTCGATGACGTTGTCAAATTGTGAAACGGTTTCTAATCGCTTTGACCCGTTATAGGATAGGCCGAGGAATTCGGTATCATTAGCCTCTGAGGCCAGGATTTCGAGCCCAGTTCCGATGTGCAACGCAGAGTGCGTGTCCACATCAAGAAACTTCAAATTCAACTCGAGCTTTTTCAGAGCCTCCGGAGCAGGGCCGGATTAAGGGGGTGGCCACATGTGCCGCGGCCCATGGCGGCAAATCTAAGGGGCGGCAAAAATTTGCAATTTTTTATAGGGTAGGTATAAAAAAAATCGGATTTACAAAAACAAAATTACAAACGAGAAAAGGCGACATTATCTCTCATTTCCTGAGAGTAAAGTAATTTCTAATTTTGTCGTCTCTTAGTGATACAAGAGACACCACCCTCAATAAGTCGAGTTACGAGAGAAACCAAACACGCAATTCGGCCTAGAACGGCGCGACTTAGAGAAAATGATAACGAGGACTTGAGATGAAAAGGAAAAGCCCTCGGCACGGCGATCGGCATGCAACACATATTAGCGCCTACAAGACTGCACGAATACTTCACGCATTGCATCAAAACACAGTGCGGTCATTGCGGTCAGCGTGAAACGGATAGCGCCTACAAGAATGCATGAATACTTCACGCATTGCGTCCAACACGGTGCGGTCTGCGCGGCGCGGCGCGCGGAAGTTAAAATCATTGAACCACATATATGTTTGTTCTTTCATAATTTTTTCGTTCATTTCTTATGGGTGGAAGGCCTTGTTCACACAGAGATAGGTTTACGGAACTTAACTTTCGCGCAAAGTTTCGTGAACTTAAGCTAGTAGTGTTGACAGGGATTCCCCAAAAAATGTGTTCAACACGAGTAAATGCGTCTTATGCACTCCTCCCCCGCTGGCACGTTCATTTGATGGTTTTTATCGAGTTTCAAAACGAATGAGAAGGGGGCGGCAAAATATAGGCGGCCCATGGGCGGCAAGTAGGTGAATACGGCCCTGCTCCGGAGGAACAGAGGAAGAAAAGAGGATAAGCGTAGAGAAACACGAGAAATGATAATGAAAGGAGGAAGGAAAGAAGGAAGAAAAACAAAGGAAGCTGTTAGAGTTAGTTAGGTAAGTAGTTAATTAGTTAATTACGCCGATCAGCGGGCTGATTGTTGAAAATGATAGACAAAGCGATGGATAAAGAAGATACAGGGAGTATGGAGCGATCCTATTCGTTGAAATGGGCGATTCCTACAGACTAAGGGGGTAAATGATGGACTAACTATGAGGTCAATCGTGTAGTTGTTTGGATCGGTATAACGGAGAGTTTATGTGCTGTTGGCGCCACGCCATTTAGCGTCTATAAGGGAGAGAGGAAGAAGGAAGATAAGTAAAAGAGGAAAAAAACGGAGGAAAAAGAGAAAGAAGAAAACTGAGAATTTTCTCTCTTCTCCTTCCCCTCATTTTCTCCTCTTCTTTCCCTTTTTATTTTTCATCCTTCTCGTTCTTCCCTTAAACCTTCTCTAATCACAATGTCAAAGTAAACAAGCCTGCCTACAGGAAGAAGCTAAATCCTTTCAAAGAATGACAGTAGACACGGACTTGACTCGGACAAGAAAAAAATTTGCAAGCACAGTTTAAATAAGATTCGTTGATTCAAGTCGTGCATTGTTTTCAATATTTTCCAAAACGAAAATGACAATAAAAACAAATAAAAAACAAATTCGACAATAAAAAACAAAGAAAGCGGCAGAGAGCATAAAATCCAAAGGCACTTGACTGGGTGAGATCCAACCAAACGTCTCAACCGAAGCTTGGTTCAGCCGTATGATATTAAGCAAAAAAGCCACAAACGGACGTATTTCTATCAAACGGAACTATGTGCATTTTGACGTGAGCCCCGTTATGCACATATTCTTATGAGTTTCAGGGCTCACGTCTTAATGCACATATTTCCTTTTGACAGAAATACGTCCAAATTTAATATGAAGGATGAGAATCGGTTACGAGTATTTTCAGAACACCTTTATCGCATAAGACTCAAAGACAACGATAAATGCTCCTGTGAGCAGATAGGGACAATCGAACACAATCCTTCTCCATTGCTCAAATATAAAACAACCAAAAAATATCTACAACCGGAAAGAACCGGATTCTCAAGTGATCATCGATTCAAAAACTATCCTGTCACGAACAGAATTAGAACTATGCCGAGAACTCGAATCCCACTTAATCAATAATCAAATGTCATGCTAAAGTACTCCTTTACCAAGCGGTGGCTGTTCGTCTCGACTAGGGCCAATTGACCCACATCTAAAGTGTCCTAGCTCGCATAAAAGAA